TGGCCAGCAATCATCTAGCTTCAGCTATGCATTCATCTTCAATCCAGCCACAACTGGTAATTTCCTTTCTTATTTCTTATGCTTTTTATTGTCTCTTTACATGCTATTATCATCTTTTATTGGCAGAGTCATAGTCCTTAGTTATGCTATATCTTTACAGCATTTTGGTGTATTTTTTATATTTCTTTGCTTGCTGCGTTCTCTGGGGCTTCATTTTGGCATAAGAAAACAAAGTTTGGGTGTAGGAGGAATGAGATCTAAGATTATATGCATAGCTTTTAGTTCTTCAGGGGGACTTGGTGATACAACTTGTCCTTGTGTATCAGGGCTCAGATTGAATTGAAAGCTTTTCATTACTTAATGATCCTGAATCCATGATAAGCGACAACTAGAAGGCAGGAGGTGTGATCATTACTGTCTTTGTGTTGTGCTTGTTTTAGCTTCTTTGCTCTATTGCTGACCATGTGACCAGTATCAATTGCTCAAAATAGCATCTAGAATCTACAATTCTACATTCACGTAAATTTGAATGCAGAATGTATTTCACATTCCCCTTGAATTTCTTCCAAAGTTTGTTAGGAAGAACCCTGTGAATCTGACAATTATTTTCAGAATCAAGCACACAAATATCTACAGCTAGCAATTGCTGTTTTCTAGGGGACAATGTGAATTCTTGTCAAGTTAATATGCAAACTGATTTTAGTACATTTTTGTTTTGATATAATGGAAAACTGAATGTCCAAGCCATTTAAAATTTCTTTGTCTGTTTTAGTCCAGCATTATTGCCATGAAGATGTCTCAAGGGTGCTGTCTGGAAGAGTTTTGAAGGAACCAATTCATGTCAGTATTCTGATTTGTGCTGCTGCTGTTTTATGGGTTGAAAGATCCACTTATGCTCATCTAGAGGGAACTTGTCCACACAAAATAAAGAACAGGTAGTTTGATCTTTGCAGCTACTAACAAGCTTTTGGTGAATTAAAACATATTTGCCAATTGTTACCACACAGTATTCATTTTCTATGAGATATTGGTACATAATGCATTGGTCTCTCCTGCATCAGTAAAAGCTTAAATATGATTTTCCTTTCAGTTACCATCTGTACTACCTATTCTCTTCTTTTTGTTTCGCAATTTTACCTTATCCATCTCTGTTTGTGTCATTCATAAGTCTTGTATTGTTTTATTTTCTCTTTTCAATATTTTAGGTTCAGATGCCTGATTAAACAGTGTGACATGGATTTTTTGTATCCAGGTAATACTACCTTACTCTGCAATGCAAACTCTTACACTTTGGATAGACATTTAAGTTGGACTTGCTGTGTTTATTGTTTGTATATTATCCTCTGTGGTGGTTTCTGCTTGTTATTGAGTTCAAAAAATTAGAATGACAGTTGCTAGGCCTATAAGTGCGCATTTGTTCTTTTACTGTTATATGTGTTTCTTACATTGATAGGACTAGGAGAAATTTTCCCAGCAAAATTATTCTCGCCTGGTAGCCCTGCATCTTGCTTTTCAAAGATGTCTCATGTGTACTGTATACACCAAAGTTATTTATATTTACTTGAACGTTTTGTTTTGGTTGGTTTCTAGAGAACTTCGGCTTTGTAGCTAAGACTAGATGAGCTATTTCGAAGTTTGAATTATGATGTTTGTCTTATGTCAAGTGTGAAAAATCAGGGAAACCCGTGAGTTGAATGCAATATCTAATTCTCTATCTATTGTCAATTAGTTCCAGGTTGGATATTAATAGGTCTTAAGTTGTTCTTGACCATTAGATCATGATTATTGAGTCTTCCAGTCAATCAGTGTTTTTTTCTCTTTTTTCTTCTTCTTCTTGGGTAAAGAAATCATAAAATTAATTAGGCAAAAATCCTTGAAAAGTTGCAAGAAATGTCGAACTATTGGTTGTCAACGTCAACTGCTGTCGCACATGCGCTGACCGGGAGCCTCTACATTCTCTATCCAACAAAAGCAATAAAAGAAATGTAAGTTTCTCACCTTTTCGTGGAAGAAAAACTGGGAAATAGCATTGAACTTGCAAAAATGTTGTTGTGCACGGTTTATAAATGATCACTCTGCTCTTGAGGATGAGGTTTTTAATGAAGAACCTGCCATGAATGCCACTCTTGTTTTCTGCTGTCTTTTTCTCTTCATATTTGTCTCTTCGCAGATTGTTACGACCTCCGCTCATATTATCAAAGGTATGAATGTTTTGTTTCTGAACATTACTGTCAGTTTCATTCTCCAATTTTGATTATAATCCGTGAGAATGCTTCCATTTTTCCCCTTTTTATTTTTATTTTTTACATCATATAATGAATTATATAATAATAAATAGTTCTTCTCATTTATATTAAGATTTGAACTTAATATTTGTAATATGGAGCTTTAAAAAAAAAAAACACAGAATGCTTCCTTTCTAGATACTGTTTCCATTACAACTACGGTAATATTATCATTAACATCTTATGGATGTTTCTTATTCATTGGTGCTCATGGGCTGTTAGCCCAACTGGTTGATAAATACACCTACCAACTTCATAACTAGTGTTCAATCACCCGTTATCCATGTTAATAGCAAGGAGTTCCAATCGATTTTGGGCTCTGGATCAAGCGGAACATTGTTAGAGCTACTTGCGGTTTCAATGACAATGGAGACTAATCAGTGCTCCCTTGCTAACCTGAACACCCGTTTTAAGTTAGTACTTCATTTATTTCAAATAATTGTTATTTTTTATTTTAAGTCTGTTTCAAATTAATTATTTTTTTTTTTATTTTTTAAAATAAACAAATATTTTTTATTACTTTAATCTTATTATTATTTATTGGCTTTAATTAATCATTTAATTATAAATTTCTTTTTGTCTTTTATTTTTTTACGGATATTATAAATAAATATAAGTATTGTCCCTAGATCTTTAATTTGAGAAAAAAAGTTAAAAAATAACAATTATTTTGGAACAAAAGTAGAATTAAACTGTATAATTTGCTGACTTAGATAATTTAAATATTTTTTACTGTTTTAAAGCTGAACTTAGTTGTGCCTGGTCATTTATCTTTTTCATTTGATAAGTGTTATTTGTATAAAAAAAATATTATATAGTTAAAATTGCATTTAACTACACAACACTTATTACTTGATGCAAGGTGGCTTCTCTAATATTAGAAGTTATCCTCTCATCTAAGTATTTTTGTTTTATATTCTGAACTGTAAAACAAAAAATTCTGTTTGTATAATAAAATAATTTTTAAAGTGCTTTAAGTAGGTACAATTTAAGGAGTAATAAGGATAAGGATGGTAGCTTCCTATCTCTCTCTTATGTATTTCTTTCTCTATCTAAAAATAGTGTTGATCGGTAGTAATTTTGTAAATTCATTGGTGTTTTAGGTTTTGCGTTTTATATAATGGAATTTTGTTGTAATTATGGTAGATTTTATATTTTTTTTGTTTAAGTTCATTTTATATATTTGCATTTACATGACAAAAAGGTTTTTTTGTTTTTTTTTTTTATCTCTTTACTATTTGGAGTTATCTTTGTAATAATTATTTTTGTTTTACTTTATATATTTTTGTAAAAAAAATATTTTTAGTTTCACTTTGGAATCACTTATGTTTTAAATCAAATAAATTAGGTAGAAATAATTTTTGTTTCAAATTTTTTATCATATAATATTAAAAAATCTCTTAAATCTATTAAAATATCTAGAAATTAATTATTTAATATCACATTTTTT